ATGGCGTCCGCCAAGATCGACGCGTTTTAAAGACAACAGTGGCAGACCACATAGCCTTCGCAGTACATATCTGAACAAATGTGACCCTAGGAATATCAACACCGATCATTATAGCAGGAATGGAGGCTATTCTTCTCAAACCACGATACCGTCAAGATGTCTCTAATGGTGTCGCAAGAGGTTTACCTTGAGGATTGAATGTAGATTTGTAGTTTTTAGCTGTTAGAAAAATGTCTGCCTTCATTTAAATGATGATCGTTTGTGAGTGTGATGCAAACCAAGGGAGGGATATTTAGATTTCATTAGCTTGTATGCGTTGAGAAATAAACACGTGTGTCTTCTGAAATGCCCACAACAAACATGGCAGACTCGGAATGTGAGTCCACGTAAATAAAGAAAAAGAAACGACAATAACCAATATATATGTACCAACAAATGAATATATATAAGCAAGAAATGTTCAAAGTATGTGCAGTCAGTGAATGCGCGTATGTACGTGTGTGTATGTGTGTCCATATATTTCCCAAAAAAGGAAAGCGTTTTTTTTTTCGCGGGAGAGTTACATGTTGACGTGTAAGCGGAAAAAGTGAGAAGAGAGTGATAAAAATTATCGCAGATTATTTATAGTTGAGAGCGTCTCCTAGTAGCGGTTTCGAAAATTAGGAGGAGATGACCCAACAATTCTCCCCTTCAGATGGGTAGAAGTTCGTGGAGTTTTTTCTGTCCTTGTTAGCTGAAAAGAAAAGGTGTCGGAAATGTTGATGAGATGTGTGATGAAACACATGTCAACGAAATGTACTTGTGTTGTCATCAGGTTACTGTATTATTTTCTAGTTGAATATAGCAGGCTCTAGAAAATGCGTCAGTAGTGTAAATTGTTCCACGTTTGCTATTAAAATTTGTCTTTTTCCAATGTTGCACGTTGAATTGGTTTTGTTGTCGCGTTGTATTTAGTTCCTTGTTGTTAGAAGGGTTTTATTTCAGAAAAAGGCCTTATTTGTTATGCGTGGACAATGCAGTTGGCGCACAAAATTTAACAGAAGTAGCGTTGTGGTAAAGTTGAGCTGATGCAGAAATTTTACCGAGTGTCGAATAAAAATTTGCTGTTATTGTCGATTGCATATTGAACTTGCATATTCTTTGTGCTGTTCGAATGGCATCGTAAGAGTGAAAAAATAAAGAACTGTGTCGTTTTTTGAAATATGTCACGCTCTATATGATGAGCCCAGAAGAAACAGTGTTGATTAAAGTTGAAATGGAGTTTATTCCCGTTTTGTCTGTACAAAAAAAAGTTTTTGTGATGTCTGCCCGTGGAGGTCGATTCGAGCATAATAGCGCCTGAGAGAGAAAGAGAGAGAAAAAAAAAAACAGTAGCAAAGAGTAGTGTGTATTATTGTCGACTGATGGACCAAAGTAGCAGTAATTGAAAGGAGAATAGCCTTGATCCCTTAAGTCCTGAAGGGATGAGGTACATCAAAGAATTTCTTTATGGTTTTCAGATTCACACCATCACCAGATCATTGATTGATAATATATTATGAAGGATATTTTCATTACTTTTTTAAGCGATGTCCCTTCAAGACATAGGCGATCATGGCTTCCCACAGGTCCCATTTCTTTTTATTACTGAATAGTCCTGATTTCTTGTGAAGGACAGAGGAATGCTTATCTTTCTTCTGCGTGGTTTTGATTTCAGAGTAGCCTTTCTCTTAGACAGACTGCATCGAATATACACACTTACACAGATCATACTCACTCACGCCCTAATGAGCCAAATGACCCCCACACACACACACACACACACACACACCCACTTAACAGAGACACATCCCCTCTCTAGGACCAATAAAACTGTCAAACTGACCAGGGAATTCAGAGAAGCATAGATCCATCCAGCTCTTATCACAAATAACAACTTAAAAGAGACTGTTTGACCAACACAAGGAATGTTAAAAAATTCATGTTAAAAAGACAAAAAAAATAAAAAAAAAAAAAATGAAAACTACAGACAAAAGTTCATTTTCTCCATCAAGACAATCATTTCTGTAGTTCACTGCTATCAGCAAGCAGAATTTTTTTTTCTCCTGATGATGGCCATGTTGGCCGAAACTAGTCGAAGAATCTAAATGAAATAATAATAAAAACGAAAGAATATTAATTTACAACCCAGTGTGCCTGAAAATTTTAATTTTTTAATATTTTTTATTGTTCTCTCTCTCTCTCTCTCTCTATATATATATATATATATATATATATATTTATATATATATATATATTAGCCTCCTATTCGTCTTTGCTATGAATAATGCTGCCACATCTAATGTGGTGCTCCTGCGATATATTTTGAGATCCTTGATAAAATCCAAAAAGAATCTGCAATGTTACTGGTATTGACATGGCATCTCGGCTTCAGTTATCTTCCCACGGTCTAACGTGGCTTCCTTGTATCTTTTCTATAAATACTTTCATGGTAATTATTCTGATGATTTTTCTTCTATGGTGCCTAGATTTTATGACTTTAAATGCACTACTAGATTGGTGGTAAGTTCTAGCCATTTTACACTTTAATGACTAGTCGTAATTACTATGCTAACTGTTCCTTCTGTCGCACTTCTCGATTGTGGAGCAGTCTTCCGGCTTCATGCGTCATAGTCGAATTTGATCTTCACAAATCTAAATGCAATATCAAATCGTTTTGCTAATTCTTGTTTTTCATTCTTCTCTCCTTAATAGCATTTTCTCATATTCTCTAACCTTCCCCCCTTACGCCTTCGTGGCTTCATTGCCTTGCTTTGGGTGAAACAATTCAAATAAAACATATTCAGCATTCGGTATATATATATATATATATATATATATATATATATATATATATATATATATATCGCTTGAAGATGGAATAGAGCTTAGTACTTTAATTCAATTTAATTCAAATAATTACATTGAAGTTTTCGGCTCTTGTTTTGAAACATGAGACCTCTTATGTCGCGAGTTGGAATCATATTTTTAAATAAATAATTATATTTATGCTCTACTTTCGTATCGAGCATTATTTTTTAAAAATAATAACAAAAATACTAAAGAACTTTGGATTATTTACCTAACGAGTTGTTTCCTATTTTATATATAATTTACACACACACACGCACACACGCGCGCACACATATATATATATATAGAGAGAGAGTGTATATTAAGGCAGCAATTTTTCATTGATGCATGTTTCATTAAATAATATAGACAATATGAAAGGAACTTCATAAATAGACACAACTTGTCTATATTATTTAATGAAGCATGCATCAATATATATATATATATATATATATATATATATATATATATATATAAAAATATTAGTACACTCTCTTACTACACTTTTGATTTCACCACCATCGCATGCTTCATCTTTTATGGTAACATTAAAGGCATAAAATACTACTTGGCAAGACCAATATAATCTCTAAGCGGCATTAAACAGATTGCTCTTGTTTATAATCTATCAATAGGAGAAAATTCCTGACTTGACTGCACGCTTCCATTACAAGTAAGTATGAAAAAATATTGATTTTTTTTAAATATTAAAACAACGCAGACTCACATACTTTTGAAATTATAGACTAACTGATATTTATACTTTTCATAATAAGGCATATAAATATTTCTTACGTGGATTTCCCTTGTAGTCATGCCCTGTGAAACTGTTTTCCAAATGATGTCACTACTATGAAAGGCGTATATTTTAGATAATTTGAATTTCTGCGGCTTCAACACAATACAGGATATAGCGCAAAAAATTCTTTATTACGACATTGACAGTTGTTGATAATTACTGAGACTAAAACAGAATAAAGCATAGACTGTGGAGAGTCTATACCTAATTTTGATTCTGTTGTAAAACAACTCATTCAAAAATTGAAAAAAAAAAACACCCATACAAAATTAAACCGACAGACATTTTCAGTTGGGTTCAATAAATCTTAGTTCAATAAATTCATGCTGTTTAAGATGTCATTAATTAAAGACAAATTTACGTTCTCTTACAGAATTTGGACATGTGTCCATTAGAGCAGATTGACCAACCGTTAGGCCCTGCACGCGCTAACCAACTTAACCACGAAGAGTAATCAGTTAGATGTGGCCAATTTTCTTGTCTTTTAAGCGTAATTTCTCTCATCATTGATTTCTCGAAATTTTTCTTCTCAGAACATTTACGAATCCAAATTAAATAAAAGATAATTTAGAATGGACTTTTATCAGTCCGACAGACTATAGCCCAGTTTTTATTAATTTTACTGTTTAAGGAAATAAGATAAAAAACTGGGGTATTAACTAAAACAGATGTACCCACTAAAAATAACGTTTATAGTAATGAAATGAAACTATGGTTTCAGATATTTTAATGCATCCTACAAACACGCATATATATATATATATATATATATATATATATATATATATATGTGTGTGTGTGTGTGTGTGTGTGTGTGTGTAAATGATTAAATGTAGTTTTAAGGTATGCCGTATTTATGAGACAATGTGCTCAATATCAGACATAGAGCGTATGTAAATATAAAATATAAAACTGGATATTGAAGACAAACTTTCATGCTAAAGATGAAAAAGTCTGTCTCAGTGTTGACCTCAATGTCCACTTTATATTTTTTATATTTACACACACACAAAAACGTGCACACACACACATATATATATAATGATTGAAATAAGAAAATAACACATATATAAACACATATATATATATATATATTCAGAAAAGTATATACAAATATACATACGTATATATATATATATATATATATATATATATATATATATATATATATGTGTGTGTGTGTGTGTGTGTGTGTGTGTGTGTTTTTATGTTTGTATGCGTGTGTCTGTGCATATACAGGGTGTTTCAAAGATATCTATATCTTTCAGTGAAATCCACCGTTTTTTTTTTAAAACAAGCTGTCATAAAAAATATACATCCTGAGTGCATGGTACCCCAAACTCTCGTTTGAAAATAAAAGTCTTGAAATGAGGAGAAATTGCAGACAAATAATTTGAAATAATGATTCATCAAAAAGCTCCAACTGAAAAGCTTATTTGTGAGTTGATAACAAAATTTCAGAAAACTGGATCATTCTATATTCAAACTTGTTTTTTTCGTAATTTCAATTACTTCTCGACATTTATTTTTTTCAGTATATATATATATATATATATATATATATATATATATATAGAGAGAGAGAGAGAGAGAGAGAGAGAGTTAGTTAGAGAGAGTGGGAAGAGAGATAAAAATGTGCGTGCAACACCAATATCTATGTTTCTCAAAATCACAGATATTTTTTAATAAATAACGTCATATATGGAAAACATGCTTTTAATAATTCCAATTACTTCTCGATAAAGATAGTAACTTGAGACACCCTGTACACACACACACACACACACATATATATATATTGAGAGGGGAGATATATGATATTGATAGTAACTTTTGAGATACCTGTATATATATATATATATATATATATATATATATATATATATATATATATATATATATGTGTGTGTGTGTGTGTGTGTGTGTGTGTGAAAATATATAGAAAATAGGAAAGAACTCGTTAGGTAAATAATCTTTTAGTTCTTTAGTATTTTGTTATTATTTTTAAAAATAGTGCTCGATAAAAAATTTCGCTTGAAGATGGAACAGGGCTCCAGTACTTTAATTCAAATAATTATATTGAAGTTTTCGGCTCTTGTTTTGAAACATGAGAACTCTTATGTAGCGTGTTGGAATCATATTTTAAATAAATAATTATACACACACACACACACACACACATATATATATATATATATATATATATATATATATATATATATATATATATATATATATATATATATATATATATATATATATATATATGTATACATATACATAAATATATCTCTCTCTTTCTCTCTCTAGAGAATATATGTGTTTAACACGAATGTCTATGCGTCTCCAAATCACGGATATCATTTAATAAATAACGTCATGTTTGGAAAAACCTCTTTTACTTATGCGATATTAATTTCAGTGAACAAAATTTCACTCATTTCGTATTTTTTTTATTTTCAGTTGTCATAAATAATCTCAATGAGTTGCATAATGAATTACAAACATGAAAATGAGGAAATTAAAATAAAATATGGCCACGAGTTAATGAATATACGTCGACTGCTCAGAAAAGAAATAGGGAGACAGCAATAAAATGACACAGCAGGAAATTAAAGCACTTTGAAATCAGGTAATTTTCAAATGAGAGAAAAAAAAAGTCATTGTGCTTTTTGGAGAGTGACAGTGAGAGACAAAAAGAGAGTGGGGGGGTGGTTACATGTATGGAAGAGAAAAATAACGAAAGAAAAATAGCTTTTCATATGTCTCCACTGTTGGAAGCAAATGAATTTTTAAAAATAGAAAATATTTCCAGAAGAAATATGAAACACAATAAATAAAGATATATAAAAAAAATATCAAATGAGTGTTTTTGATTTTTTTTAAATCATTGTACAAAAAAAAAAAAAAAAAGATAAAAGACGAAGAAAATATATAAGGAGGAAATTAAATTAAAAACATAAAAAGAAAGAATAAAGGAAGTCAGAGAAGAAGAAAAGGAATGAAGGAGACAGAAAAGGAAAGGTATGGAAAGAGTAGAGGGGAAGAGTGAGAAACGAAAAGAAAAATAAATGAAATAAAGAAAGACTTAAAAGAAAATAGAATTACAGACGTAAAAAAAACGCAATATTTAAAGCCACGTCTAATCTGGCACAAGGCCATAATAAGAGAGTATCCAGAGACGATCGAATTCATTTCAATAATAATAGAATGCAACGGAATGCATCTAGCCAACATCATCTAAAAAAAAAGAAAAGAAATCCTTCAGTGAAAGAAGGAAAAAAGTAAATGGCATAAAAAATCAACAATCTATCTATCTATCTATCTATCTATCTATCTATCTATCGATCTATCTATCGATCTATCTATCTATCTATCTATCTATCTAAGTCTGATCCTACCTTTTTCAGTCTGTTCCTATCTATCTATCTATCTATCTATCTATCTATCTATCTATCTATCTCAGTATGATCCTACCTATTTCAGTCTGTTCCTATCTATCTATCTATCTATCTATCTATCTATCTATCTATCTATCTCAGTCTGATCCTACCTATTTCAGTCTGTTCCTATCTATCTATCTATCTATCTATCTATCTATCTATCTATCTATCTATTTAAGTCTGATCCTACCTTTTTCAGTCTGTTCCTATCTATCTATCTATCTATCTATCTATCTATCTATCTATCTATCTATCTATCTCAGTATGATCCTACCTATTTCAGTCTGTTCCTATCTATCTATCTATCTATCTATCTATCTCAGTCTGATCCTACCTATTTCAGTCTGTTCTATCTATCTATCTATCTATCTATCTATCTATCTATCTATCTATCTATCTATCTCAGTCTGATCCTACCTATCTATCTATCTATCTATCTATCTATCTATCTATCTATCTATCTATCTATCTGTGTACGTATGTGTGTACGCGCGTGTATGTGTGTTTGTGTTTGTGCACGTGCGGCGTGTTTAAATCAAAATGATCCAACGACATATGAACGTTGGATAAAAAAAAAGCTCCTAAGTTGTAGTGAAGACAACAGAAACTTACAACGAGAGGGAAAGCGGGAAAGTAGAAGAGAATGCAAAATAAGAGTGTGAATAAGAGAGAGAGAGAGAGAGAGAGAGAGAGAGAGAGAAAGAGAGAAAAAAAAAGAGAGAAATAGAGAGAGAGTAGGGCAAGGCAGGGAGAGATGGATGAAGGTATGAAATAAATCGAATAAAAGAAGGGAAAAAGCCACGTAAGCGTAAAAAACCAAAAGAAAACGATGAAAAAAAAAAGAAGAAAAAGAGAATCAAGTATTAAGTAGGAAAAATGTAGAAAGGGAAAACAAAGGAAAAGAAAAGAATGAAAAAATAGACGGAAACTATCCTGTCAAAATGAACATCAAATGTAACACGTTGCAACGGAAAGAATTACAGACGTACAGTTATTTATTTATTTCTTGCAAAAGGTTGCAAAAATAGCAAAAAATAATGAGAGCTCTATTTAAAAGAAAAAGCAAGATCAAGAATGATACAACAAAAATTATCAGATGACAAAAATAAATTAAGAAAAAGAACAATTTCACATACAAGGAATAAAACTAATCAAGAGAAAATTAAAAAAAAAAATATGATGAAAATGAAAGCAAACAAAGAAACCCCGATGTATCGGTAAAAAAAAAAAAAATCAAATAAAACTTTAAAAAGGAAAAGCTGTCAAAAAATAAAATTTTCAAATCAGTTCAAAAGAACATAAATCGAAATTTAAAAAAAAAAAAATAAAATAAATGATTCTCAAAATTAAACAAATAAACTAAATTTAAAATTGAAAACAGAAGACAACATTTATCAAGTTACGGAAGTGCAATTTTGACAGATGTCACGTGACCAATGCAACACGTTCATCTGATGGTCACTGTAGTGCCAAGCGAAATAAGACATAAGATATTCAAGGAGAAAGGGATGAAGTTAAGAGAAGAGAAGTTATTGCAACTGCTTTCTAAATTGTAACAAATACTGCAAATGATGATAAAGACTCCATTACAAATACTACTCGTAGTGGTACAACTACTACTACTACTATTAATAATGATGATCTTGAGCGCAAGGCCCAGTTATTTAGCAAAGCGGATAAAAGCAGAAAGATCGCAAGCGGCTGCTAATAAATTACAATATTTTGAAACATGAAGTGAGCAGCTGCCAATTGGTTGAAAGGGAGCTGATTGAAAACGAGGCTGATGAGACACACAGAAAAAAGTCATGGAAGCGAAAAGAGAATAAAGAAGAAAGAAGAGAAACGGCATGCCTGAGAAAAGGAAAGAAAGAAAGAAAGAAAGAAATAAAGAAAGAAAGAAAGAAAGAAAGAAAGAAAGAAAAAAGAAGAAAGAAAAATAAGATGGAAGATGAAGATAAAATATGAGAAAGGAGTTAAAGAAAAATCAAAAAAGGAAAGAAAGAAAAAAGAAAGAAAGAAAGAAAGAGAAAAAGATGAAGGCAAATTTTGAGAGAAGGAGAATGAATTAAAATCCTATAAATAAATAAGTAAAGAAAGAAAGAAAGAAAGAAAGAAAGAAAGAAAGAAAGAAAGAAAGAAGAAATAAAGAAAGAAAGAAAAAGAAAGAAAAGGTATAAGTAGCTAGAATTAGACTCGGAGAACAGTAACGAAATATTCAAAACACAGTCTGGCATAGGATCACAGGAAGAGCTGGGCATCAATCTATGGCAATCTTCCAGTTATAACGAAAAGAAATAAAAATTGGCTCGTATCATTGCTGCCAGTGGGGTTAAAAGTCTGTAGCTTTTACCGGGCTGGTAAAGCAGTGAGTAAAGTACTCACTCACCCAATCACTTCTGTATCAACGATCCTCAACTGTCAGCGACGAAGTGGTTTTGTCTAGATAATTAACGATTAAAGAGAAGTAGATTCATGACTTTTTCAAGGGCATCAGACAGAATTCGAACACGACCAGCCGATTATAACACTGATAACCGTTACATTAGGTGATGACAGAAATACAAGAAGGTAAAAGAAGAAAAGAAAGCGAAGAATTAAAATGGAAGGAAGGACGGCAGAAAGAGAAATGTCTTAGACCAAAAAATAAAAACTGGGAGTAAAGAAAGAAGGCACTAAGTAAAGAAAGAAAGAAAGAATTGGGTTCTTCTTCTATGTGCCGTGTTTCTTCACGCCCTTGACGATCATGGCTCTTCACAATATCTTGTCCTTTGTAGCTCTTAAGAAATTTTGTCTTTTTGCCATCTCTTTAAAACAATCTTTCGCCATCGATTCACTCAAGCTCACCTTTGCCTCTCGAGATTTATCGCGTAAACAATACAACAATTGTGGCGCTCTCTTTTGTCACCCTTGCTTTCAATCAGTCCTGTGAGTATCATTCGTAATATTAAAGAACATGTCGTTTTAACGGAGTAGTAGAACGGGTTAGGAGTGAAAGAAATAGAAAGGCAACAATTTGGAATTCAGAATCACGTATTAAATGGTGAAGAAACAGATAGAAAAAAAAGGAGTTCCGTGGAAAAATCACATTTACCAAATGTGGCGAATGCTCACTTATATAGTGGCCGAGAAATTGGAATAAAAAAACAACCCTGAAGCGGATAGTCGCTCGAAAGAATAAATACATATATATATATATATATATATATATATATATATATATATATATATAGAATGGAGGACAGAAGAAGACTTCGGGAGAAAGAAAAGAAAGAGATAACAAGGAAAGAAGGACTGTTTATCTTTACTGCAATATTCACAACGTCTCGGTCTTTAGGTGACTGGAATTTCGAACCGAAACCTTTATTTCGTCCACCGGGGTAGATTGTTCTAGTTCCACGTGCCATGCCTCTTCTGGATGTTTCAGTTATTTCCCTTTAACTCAACTCGCCAAGTTTTTGGTTCACATCTGCTGTGGCCTGGTTCACCACTGCTGTGGCCAGGTATTAAACTCACAACTCTTTGGGTTTCGTCACTGGATTTAACTAAAGTCTTTATCCAATGGGCAATGTCCCCCTGAGGACATCTGTGCACGAATTTTGGAACTTATATACCCAATAACTGAGTAAACATTTTTACCAGTGCTCATATTGCAATTTTTCTGTCATTATTACTGCATTTTTACCAGTGCTTATATAGCAATTTTTGTTGCTATTCATTGCTTTTCTACCTAATAACTGAGTAAACATTTTTAACAGTGCTCATATTGCAATTTTTTCTGTCATTATTACTTTCTGGAAAGTAAAGGAAAGTAAGGAAGTAGAAAAAACAGAGGGGAAATAAGCAATGAATGTGAGTCAAGGGAAAAAATTTATGAAAGAAAGAAAGTTAAGTAGAAGGTACAGAAATTAATTATTGTAAAGAGAGAAGTTAAGAAAAGGCCGTAATGACATAAGAAAAAATAGTAAAAAAAAAAAAGAAAAAAAAACTTTTAAAAAAAATTCTTTTTGCCTTCAAGACGAAGGTGATTAACGCACTTCACAGATTTCTTTTTTCATTATCAATACATTGCCAATTTAGAAAAAGATAGAGGAATGTTTCCCGTTTCCTTCTCTATGGTTTGAATTCAGAGTTGTCCTCCTCCTCCTCCTCCTCCTAATAACAATAATAATAAAAGCTGGCCACTCGTATTCGTGGATACTCATCTACTAGGGCGGGTAGCCAGTCCCTATTGTAGAGTCTCGCTCAGGCACATTTGTGTTTGTTCAACACCCACACAGCCAACTTGTGGTTTATACTGCAACTATGCTGAGCAGACCTTAGTTACAGTTTCTGGGACTGAACGTGTTATCTAGAATGATCAACAATCTGAACAACACCAGCACACCCAAATCCTTGTGACTTCGTGCTAGCACAACTATCGACGGTCCTCAAGTGTCCCGTCTACCCAATTTCACTTTGGTCAGGCACTTTACAAAGTCTCCTTCCTGACAAATTTACCACGGTGAGATTCGAACCCGTGTCGCATGGTCAGAAAGCGAACTATCTAACCACTTGGCCTCTCGCCCATATATCCTTCTCCTAGTCTGGCTGCAACATTCCTATTTAACCCATATCTGCATTAATTTCTTTCCCGAGGGCATTTGCTCGAAAGTGAACAAAACATACTAGTCGAATAGTTGAACTCCGCTCACTAATTTCATTTTCTAGACTGATAATCTTTATGATATCCACACAGAAAAGAATAAGTAATTAAAAATAGTAATTTTCTGTGACTGTTAAAATTTCGTCTGCTATCTGCGTACAGAACAAAGTATCAAGACTGTCCATTGTCTTAATTGTTGAAGCAATCGCGAATCATTCCTAAACTGTTGAAACCATTCCGAACCAGTCCTAAACAGTTGAAACTATCTAGAACCATTTTTAAACTGCTAAAACCACCTCGAACCACTTTTAAACTCTTGAAACCATCCTGAACCATTCCTTAAGTGTTATCACCATCCTGAGCCATTATTAAACTGTTGAAATAATCCGGAAACATTCCTAACCGTTTGAAATCATCCCGAACCATTCTTAAACTGTTGAAACCATCCCGAACCATTCTTAAACTATTGAAATCATCCTGAACCTTTCTTAAACTGTTGAAACCATTCCGAACCGTTCTTAAACTGTTGAAACCATTCCGAACCGTTCTTAAACCTGTGAAACCCTCCCAAACCGTTCTTAAACTGTTGAAACCATCCCGAACCATTCTTAAACTGTTGAAACCATCCCGAACCATTCTTAAACTGTTGAAACCATCCCGAACTCAACTATTCAACTATTGCTCTAATTATATAAATTGGAAGTGTTTTTTTTGTTTTTTGTTTTTTGTTTTTTTTAATTGATAAGAACTAATGTAAATAAACTGAAATCTTCCATTGATTTTAAGGGTTAATTTTTTTTTCGCCAAGTGTGTGCTGAAAAGTTCTCAGTA